GGGCGTGGGGCGGCGCTACGACTCCTCCTGGCGCGCGGGGCTAGCGTGGACGCCCGGGACGGCGCGGGGGCTACTGCACTCAGCATCGCGGCCGCCCTGGGCCGCGGGCAGGTACGTCCTCGCCCTCGCCTTCTCGCCGAACCTGAACCGAACCTGAACCTGGGCCAGTATAGGGGGTGGAGGGCCAGGAGCCCCAGGGCCCTCCCACCCCTGCTTCAGTCCCAGAGTGGGGCGGCAAACAGGACAGACGCAACCGCAAAGATATGCGCCCGGTATCACAGAGGATGGTGGAGACTCGAACCCTCTAGCCGGTGCAGGGAGGCGGGGGCTTCCTGCAGGAGACGGAGAAGGAGACAGGACTCTTAGGCCCAAGGCTGGGGGGCTGGAAGGCTCCATCTGGAGCTGGGAAGTCGAGGCAGGGGCAGGCCATGAAAGGCCAAGCCGTTAGTGCCGTCCTGTTTTATACTCCTGATGTTTGTTAATTCACCATTTCTTTAGGGCAGTAGGGTAGGGCGCCTTGCCTGGCGCTCAGATTTTATTCTTGATCTCCAGGCTGTACTTGGTCCAACCAGCCCCTAGGCAGCCAGGGAGGCACGGTGGTGCGGCTGCGCACTCTTGAACTGGATCTTACCTGGATACGAGGAAAAGTGAAAAGTGAAACCCCCAAACAGAGCCCCACCTGGAGTGTCTTTGGCTCTGGCCCATTTGCCAGAAGGGGAAGGAGAAGTAGGAGTTCTAGGTCAGGCAAACTCAGAGTGGCCCTACCCCACACTGGGCCTGGGCCAATGCTGTCTCCTGCCCTCCCTTTTTCTCCCCTCGCAGGATGTAGAGGCGCTGCTTGGCCATGGGGCAGACCCCAGCCTTCAGGACAGACATGGCCGCTCTGCACTCCACAGGGCTGCTGCCGCTGGACACCTGGCCTCGGTGCAGCTACTGGTAGTCCACAGTGCTGACATCAACGCTCAGGACTCGCTGGGCCTTACACCCTTGCACCACGCTGCTCGGGGAGGCCACATGGATGTCGCCAGCCACCTCCTGGACAAGGGTGCACAGGTCAATGCTGCAGGCTGGCTCCGCAAGACCCCCCTGCACTTCTCTGTGGAGTCACACCATGGCCCTACCACAGAGCTTTTGCTGAGCCGAGGGGCCAGCCCCACCCTGAGGACACAGTGGGGTGAGGTGGCCCAGGACCTTGTGTCTGAGGCAAGCCTGTGCAGGGAGCAGAAGGAGTGCTAGTCTGAGGCTGCCTGGAGGAGTGAACTGCCGAGAGACTCCTGGAGGAGGAAGAGGAGGATAGAGGTGGAGAAGGAGGCAGTGGCCTGAGTCCTTGGACTCGAACCTGTGGCTGGACAGCTCCCAGCTCTGGGGGAGTGGCCATCCCCACTACAGCTCCATCCTTCACTGCACTCTGTGGCAGAGCAACTGGATTATGCAACAGATTTGACCATAACCCGATAGTCTCCCCTTGCCTTTCTCTGTCCAACTATGGGGGTGTCACCCTTCTGATCTGTGCCTCAACTGTTCTTTCGGTACATACATCTATATACATATACTCATTGCCATCGAGTCGATTCTGACTCATAGCAACCCTATAGGGCAGAGCAGAACTGTCCCGTAGGGTTTCTAAGGAGTGCCTGGTGGATTCTAACTGCCAACCTTTTGGTTAACAGCCGAACTCTTAACCACTGTGCCACCAGGATTTCTCTTTCTGTACATAGGGGACAGTTATACCTGACTGACCCATCTCTGTATCCACATAGAAAATCGTCGTTGTCATTATTAGATTTAAAAGTACTATTTTTGAAAGAACAGCTTTACAGGATAGATTTCATCTTTCAAAAATGAGCCTTGTCGTGCCAAGTTAGCTCCTCTGGGCCCTGGTGGGCCATGGAAGCACTTGGAGTTTACTCCATGTAAGCCTTTAGGGAGTCTGCTTGGCCTACTAGACTATGCCTGAGAAAGGTAGGAAGCAGAGACCAGCAAGAGATGGTGATGGTGTGGACAGTGGTGGTGGCGTGGAGGGAGGTCGGAGCAGGCAGAATCAGGATGGCTCTGAACAGAGCCCACTGGACCTGCTGAAGCCTGGATTTGAGGGTGAGGGAAAGTCTGCAAAACATAACAATTCCCCCTAGTTAGGCTTTGGCCTGAGGCAGCGTGAGGTGGATGGTAGAGCCATCTATTGGAACAGGGAGAGCAGGGTGCACAGGTTTTGGCTGCATTGCCTTTGAGATGCCTGTTAGATACCTATGGGGAGATGGGAGGTGGGTGCTGGGGACATGAGTCGTGAAAGGTGGGGCCTGGAGTTACATCTTTGAGAGTCCTCAGAGTGAGGATAGTTTGTAAAACCACAGGATGGACCTACACGCAGCCCTCCGACAAACCCCGTGGAGTTCATCTAGAGTCCCACCACTTTCCACCCCCTCAAGTTGCTTCCACTCAGGTTCCTGCCAAGAAATACTACAACAGCCAGGCCAGCCTCCAACAGGAAGATCCTAACTGGTCTTCCTGCTTCTGCCCTTGACTCCCTGTAGTCCATTCTCAAAACAGTGGCCAATAATCTTATTTAACAAGTCAGACAATGTCACTACCCTTCTTCCAAGACAGATTCATTTGTTCTGGCAGTCCATAATATATTCAGTATTCTTCACCAACACTATAGTTCGAATGCATCAATTCTTCTTCGTTTTCCAGCTTTTGCACACAAGGTGATTGAAAATACCATGGCTTCAAGAGACAGAAAGGGCCACATAAACCAGAGACTTCATCAGCCTGAGACCAGAAGAACTAGATGGTGCCTGGCTACCACCTATGACCACCCTGACAGGGAAAACAACATAGAGTCCCTGATGGAGCAGGAGAAAGGTGGGGTGCAGAAATCAAATTCTAGTAAAAAGACCAGACTTAATGGTCTGACTGAAACTGGAGGAACCCTGGAAAGCATGGCCCCTGGACTCTGTCAACCCAGAACTAAAAGAATTCCTGAGGCCAACTCTTTAGACAAAGATTGGACTGGACTGTGGGACATAAAATACTCGTGAAGAGTGTGCTTCTTAGCTCAAGTAGATAACATGAGACTAAATGGGCAGCTTCTGTCCAGAGATGAGATGAGAAGGCAGAGAGGGTTAGGAGCTGGTTGAATGGACATGGGAAATCAGGTGGAGAGGAGGAGTGTGCTGTCACAGTATTGGGAGAGCAATTAGGGTCACATAACTATGTATAAATTTTTGTATGATAAACTTGAAATGTAAACTTTCACATAAACTACAACAATTAAAAAAAAAAAAAAGAAAATACCATGGCTTGGTGATTATTGTAATTGCTGTCAATTATTGTAATCACCTCTACACAGCTCCTTAAAAAAATGTTGAATTGGCAAAGGTTTTGTGACAGGTATATTTACAACAACAACAAAAAAAGCAGTAGCTGTTGAGGTTGCTTATGTACAACCAAAAACCTCATGGGATTTGGTTCCTTGGTTTGGACGTTTAGGGTCATGTTTTCATGGGACAGCCCAGTTAATTGGCCTAATAACATGTTTAGTGTTTGTCTTAGGCTGGGTTCTCTAGAGAAGCAAAACCAGTGAAGCGTATATACATATATAGATTTATCTCAAGGAAATGGCTCATGTTGTTGTAGAGGCTAGCAAGTCCCAAGCCACATAGCTGCAGGGGCTGACAAACCCAAGATCAGCAGGTCACTGGCTCGTAGACTGTGGAGGCTGACGCATCCCAAGATCAGCAGGCAATATGGCAGGCCATGGGCTCAAGTCCCAAGAACCAGAGGTCAGATGATGATGAGCTGGATGCAGGATCCAGAGCAAGAGAGCAAACTTTGCCAGAACATCCATATATATATATGTATATATATATATACACACTGGATGCAGGCTACACCCCCAAGGAAACTCCCCTTACAACTGATTGGCCGTTCACGTCTGATCACATCAGGGAGGATGACTACATCATTATATAACTGCCAAATTACATCATTACATGACTGCAAAACTACATCATTACATTCCTGCCAAACCACTGAGAATCATGGCCCAGCCAAGTTGACACACAACCTTAACCATCACAGTCCACCCCTTGTCAACATGGTACCTGTACACATCTCCTTAAACCATACACAGTCTCTAAATAAAGACAATTACAAAGTCATACTTGCACCTTACATGATACAACTAACATGCATACAACCAAAAACACACTAGCCCCATTTACATCTTATATTTTATAAGTGATAAAAACAAAAATATTTGACACACATATACAAGGAAGTAATACTCATAAAAACTACAGTCCTCATTTATACAACTGGTCACGTGGTCGTAACTGGTATTTTGAACTACCTTCTTCTGCCACATGTTCTGTATTTCCTTTACCCTCAGCAAGCACCTCAGCTGGTTGTGGTTCTTTGCCTGGTGGTATGACCCAAACCTTCATTCCCGAAGGGTCTGGGCCCTTAGTGGCCATGTTGAAATTGGGTTCCTGTAGTTTCCCATTGACTTTAATCACAGGGCATGGTAGTACTAAGAGATACCTGAAGGGATCTCCTGTATTCCAGATATACTCTTCTTTATCTTCATTATGCAACACCAATCTGATTTCCCCTTGGTAGTAAAAATCAATCACACAAGCCAGTATGTTAACTTTGTTCTTTGCCGGTTGATCCAGAGGCATGAGGAGTCCAAAGTGGCCAAGTGGCATTCTTAACTTCCAGTTCAGTAGAATCAGTGTTGTGTTTCCTGGTGGAAAGCATACCTCCCTTTGGAACTAAGACCTCTAGACCTGCAAAGCATAGGGTCGCAGGGACAGGAAGCAAAAACTGTGTGAGTGGGTCACTAGGGGTAATAGTGAGTGGTGCCACTCCCATTTCTACCCCTTGATTCCTGGAACTGTGAATCCTGGCTATGGGAGAATCGGCACCATATATTGGACACTGGTTTAGAGCATATAGAGCCTCCTGGAGAAAATTGTCCCAATCCTGCAAAGCATTGCCACCTAGCTGGCATTGTAATTGTGTCTTTAGGAGGCCATTCCATCCTTCTATCAAGCCAGCCGCTTCAGGATGATGGGGAATATGGTAATACCAGTGAATTCCATGAGCGTGGGCCTGTTGCCGCACTTCATTTGCTGTGAAGTGAGTCCCTGATCTGAGGCAACTCTGTGTGGGATGCCATGATGGTGGATTAGGCATTCTGTGAGTCCATGGATGGTAGTTTTGGCAGAAGCATTGTGCAGGGAAGGTAAATCCATATCCAGAGAAGTGTCTATACCAGTAAGAACGAAATGTTGCCCTTTCCATGATGGAAGTGGTCCAATGTAATCAACCTGCCACCAGGTTGCTCAAGGAATGTTGTCATGTTGGAGACTCAGTGTTGGTCTCTGCTGCTGGTAGATAGGGTACTCAGCAGTGGCTGTATCCAAGTTGGCCTTGGTGAGTAGAAGTCCACGTTGCTAAGCCATGCAAAACCTCCATCCCTGCTACCATGGTCACTTTGTTCATGAGCCCCTCGGGCAATGATCGGAGTGGCTGGGAAAAGAGGATGACTGCTTTCCATAGAATGCGTCATCCTCTGCACTTGATTGTTAAAATCCTCCTCTGACGAGGTCATCCTTTGGTAAGCATTCACATGAGACACAAATATCTTCACTTCTTTGGCCTGTTTAGAGATGTCTAAACACATACCTCTTTCCCATACCTCCTTGTCACCAATTTTCCAATCATGTTCCTTCTAAGTCCCTGATCATCCAGCCAAACCATTGGCCACAGCCTATGAATCAGTATATAATCAAACATCTGGCTATTTCTCCTTCCAAGCAAAGTGAACAACTAAGTGCACTGCTCGAAATTCTGCCCATTGGGAGGGTTTCTCTTCACCGCTGTCCTTCAGGGAGGTCCCAGAAAGGGGCTGTAGTGTTGCACTGTCCACTTTCGATTGGTGACTGCGTATGACTCAGAACCATCTGTAAACCTGGCATGAGTTTTCTCTTCCTCAGTCAACTGATCAGAAGGAACTCTCCATGAGGCATAGGTGCAGACTGGGGAGAGGGCAGGTAATGTGACAGGAGTGGACACTATGGGCATTTGGGCCACTTCCTCATGGAATTTACTTGTGCCTTCAGGTCCTGTTCGGGCTCAGTCTCATATATACTACTTCCATTTAATGATGGAGTGCTGCTGTGCATGTCCAACTTTATGTCTCTGTGGGTCAGATAGCACCCAATTCATGA